GCTTTGGTGGGGAGCCGGAGGGGACACTCAGGGTATGGTCCCTCTGTTTGGACTGGCCAAGGTCACTCCCACAGGCGGCCAGAGCTGGAGTGGCGGGTAACAGGCCTGGCGCGTGTCTGTGGCGTCTGAGTCTGTTTGGTTCATCGTCTGCCACCCTGGGATCTAACTGGGCTGTTTCTGTTTGGTTTCCCACCTCTCCACGTGGCCGATCAGATGGATGGCGAGTCTGAGGAGGAGCAGGAGTCAGCAGACACGGGGGAGGACGAGGAAGGCGGCGACGAGTCTGACTTGGTAATTTCCGGCACTACCTGGGGGAGATGAGGAGGAGCCGGCATTCTTGTACACGGCCCTCGTCGATGGGGCCTGTTTGTGCTTGCAGCTGGGGCGTGGTGGTGCTGCAGAAGTGGTGCTGCAGAAGTGGTCCTGCCCCTGGCCCAGCCCGATGAGAAAGACACCCTGCAGAGTCACAGCGCGGAGCTGGGGGATGGGCTGTCGTGGGTAGTAGGGGACTGGGGGCCGCCCAACGGCACTGGCAAGGTGGGGCTGCGGTGAGGCCAGGCCAGGGTGCTGCTGTGGGGGCTGGTGTGTGGGAAGGCGAAGCGGCAGGCCTTCATCAGGGTCGTCTGCCACACAGGCGGGGGGAGAGGAGTCTCCCTCTGTCCACACTGAAGCCCATGGTTCCTGAGGGGGCGAGGGTCCAGATCCCGGTCGCGCAGCCAGATCTGCGGAAATCAGCGGCGCCTGCAAGTAGAGAAGAGCTCTGTGGCCAGGATGGAGCCTCGGAAGCTCCGGCCCACGAGGGTTACAGAGGGGGAGGTGTTGCCACGCGTGGGGCCAGGGGAGGTGGTCTCGGAGCTGTGGGGAGAGGGCCTGGAGAGGTCGGGTCCTGGGGCCTGAGGAATACTCCAAACAGGGAGAAGTGGCCCACGGCGTCAGCTCGACGCAAGTGTGAACAAGAGGAGGACACAGGAGACCGCTGGGTTTGGGGATGAAGGGTTGTTTGAGTACAGCAGAGGGGCGGCCATAGCTCCGCGGCAGTGGCTTTGGGTGCGGTGCTCGCAGAGATGTTCTTTCCAGAAGTTTTGCCGTGCGGGGGCTCAGGGTGAAGCTGGGGCTGTCTGTGCTACAGATGGGGCTCCGGCACTGTTCAACTCAATGACCACCCAGGCCGCGCAGTGCCAGGGCATATGTGGGACTTGTTTCGGTGGTTGGCAAGACCTGTGTGTTGCAGCCGTGCCTGCCTGAATTGTCTGCCCAGCACATCTGATGTGACCCTTGGTGTGCACAGGAAGGAGGAGCCGTGTCCCCTTGTGACAGGCTGGGCGTACATGTGTGCATCTGTGTGAGCCGTGGCAGTTGGTGCTCTTTCTGCATCTAGGTTTTGGAGAAAGGTGCTTAGAAAAACATCTGAAATATGATAAATTAGTTATAGCCTCTTTCCTCTGTGTAAATAATGAGTGTGGGTACCGATTCCAAAGCACATTTGAGGCATTGACTGTTCCTTTGCCTGTGAGCAAGATGAACGGATGCATATGATTAAAAGCGGATTCTTTTCCTGAGCTTATTCATTTTGTGACTGAGTAGCACTTCCTGATTTATCCTTTTCTTTTGTGCTAAACTCAAATAAGATTTATAAATTCCATTTTAATTTTGGGCTTAGAGAGATGTTTTGGAAAAAGCATAGGTATCTTTAAGAATGTGACCCAGAAACATGTCTAAAAGTGAGATTAATATTTCAGCTGAAGAATCTGGATGCAGCAAGTGTTTATTTTGCAGGCAAACAGATTTCTAGGAGTTTTGCTTTCAAGGGTTCCCTGTGCTCTGAGGCTCATGTACCTGCCCTTTGGTCCTCCAGAGTTCTGAGTCCAGCATCAAGAAGAAGTTTCTCAAGAGGAAAGGGAAGACCGACAGCCCCTGGATCAAGCCAGCTAGGAAAAGGAGACGGAGAAATAAAAGGAAGCCCAGCAGTGTGCTAGGTAAAGGCCATGGAGGTGTGGGCTGCACACCCTGTGCTGTGGGGGTGTCTGTGGACCTGCCTGGGTAGGGCATGTGGTTCTGCATAGGATTTCATTTGAAGAGAGGGCTCCACCATTAAAACAAAAAAGTTAGAGATGACTCTGTTGAAGTGTTTCCTTCTGGCAGACCTGGTTGATGTTGACTTCTTCACTGAATGTCGGATGAGGAGACTTGTTTGCTAACTGTGTGGGGTGACTAGAAACTATGGCCTGGGTGGATATGTCCCGTGTTTCGTGGAGGAAGGCAGCCTGCGGCCACACAGGCATTAGCAACCCTCCGTGTCCTCGGGGGCCTTTACCTTGGTTCACATGTGGCTTCAGCCCTTTGGTCGGAGTCCTCTGTTCCAGAAGTAATTTTGTAAATGACAAATGCAAGGAAGGAAATGAGACCTTCCAGCCCATGGGTTTAGCGTGCCAGGGGTCATATTTTTTCACAGCTTAATCAAGGTACACTTGCCACACAATAAAATATACCTACATAAAGTGCACAGTTTGATGCGTTTTAGCATGTTTGTAACCATGGAACCATTACCGTGATTAGTCAGTAAATACCACGAATGTCTTCATCACCTCCAGCTTCCCTCCTTCCTCTGCTGCCCCATAGTAACCTGTTCCTTTCCCTAGCCACTCTTTCTCACTCCCAGGCAGCCACTGAGCTGCTGTTTCTACCTATTGGCAAGCGCTTTGTGGAATTTCATTATAAATGGAGTCATTCAATATGTACTCTTTTTCCATCTGACTTTGACCAAGCCCAATTGCTTTGAGAGTTTGTGTTGTGTGTGTTGATAGTTTGTTCCTGCCTGTTGCTGAGATGTGTCTCATTATGAGACTGTACCATGTTTTATTCCATTCTCTTTTCAGTGGACTTTGGGTTCTTACCAGTTTTAGGAAAGAAATAAAGCCACTGTGAACATGTGTGCACAAGTCTTATTGAACGGATACTTTCATTTATCTTGGGTAAAAATTCAGAGGTGGAATGGTGAGTAGAGTGGTATGTGTTCAGCTCTTTTAGAAGCTGCCAGACTGTTTTCCAAGCGCACTTGTCCTGTTCTGCATTCCCATGACAGTACACAGAATTCTAGTTCCTCTGTATCCTTGTCAGCACTTGCCAGGGTCCATCTTTTTTAATTTCAGGGGTTCTAGTGGATGTGCAGTGGTGTCTCCTTGTAGTTTCAATTTGCTTTGACCTAATGAATGATGAGATGGTGCGTCTTAGCTTTCTTCTGTTTGCTTTGTGAAGTGTCTGTTCACATCTTTTGCACATTTTTAGTATCAGGTTTTCTTCTCACTAAGATGCAAGTCTTTTCATCAGGTGGTTGTTTCGCATGTATCTGTACCTAGTCTCTGACCTGCCTTTGCATTTTCTGAATGGTATGTTTGGAAGAGCAAAAGTTTAAAAATTTCGTTGAAGTCTAATTTGTGAAGTGTTTTCTTTTATGGTTTGTTCTTTTGTGCTCTCAGAGCTTTTTGACTGACCCGGGTCCCAAAAAGTCCCACATTTTCTTCTTGATGTTTTGCAGTTTTAGTACTTACCTGTGGGTCTTGGATCCGTTTAGAGTGAACGTCTGAGTGCAGTGTGGGGTAGAGTCCAGCTCCCTTTTTTGCATGTAGATACGCGTGGCTGTTTCAGCACCGTTGGTGGAATAGACATGGCTTTCCCTGTTGAGTCGCCTTGATTCCCAGTCAACTGTGCAGGGCGGTTTCTGCACTCTCTAGACTGTGTTGTTATTCCCTTGTTTGACCCTGACTGGCATCACAGGGCTGCAGCACTTTGTTCTCTTCTTCAAGGTTATTTTAGTTAATCTTCTAAATTCCCTGACATAGAAGTGGGCTGCCTGGACATCAGGAGGCAGCCCTCCCCTGAAGTGGAGATGCTGCAGGGGATCTGATAGGCGGCTGTCGCCATGGAGATTCCTGGGGTTTGTGGGCGGGAGACTTGGCCTCCCCGTGAGCTGCATCTGTTTCTCCACTTCGGTTTCTCTCTACCTTGGCTTATCGATTGAGATCAGGACACCAGTGTGGCTTTTACTGTTGGCTGGCAAAAGCATTTGTAGGTCCAAGACTAAAGTTGCTTTTGGGGTAGAGATTTCATCTTTGCTATCTTGACTGTAATGTTTAAAATGAATGCTTTTAAATATTCACATAGGAGTTTGAGTTTTGCTTCTTTCTGAACTTTGTTTTTTTATTTCTGTACTCTTTGTGTTTAAAATTGTACAAAGAATACTCACGTTCTTCAAATTGATGGTGATGGTTACTCGGAGGTGGTTGCCCAATAGGGGTACAGAATGTGGCATGAATCAGAAGACTTTGGGGACCATACCTCTCTGTACACAGTGCTTCATGTATTTCCGGTCATGACGTATACTGATGACTAGCATTTAGAGGATTGGCTGTGAAGTGTGGTCATTTGCCCTTGACTGGGGCTAGATGTTGTCTGCTGTAAGTGCACACTTCTCACAGGCCCCTTCAGTGAAATGATGTTCAGCTTTGTACATCTTCCTCTGGCCTTCCTGGGTGGTGGTACAGGCTGTGCTGGCCACTGCGCCTGTGTCCTCGAGGGCAGAGGAGGCCATGAAAGTGTACGCTGCTGAGCCAGGGAAGCTGGCCCTTCCTCGCAGCACCCCCTCCTTGGCACATCCAGACTGTAGTATGGCCCTCTGATTGACACCCTTCATAGGTCTCGCTTCCTGGATCTCCTGGGGTTGACGCTGACTCTTGCGTGGCAGCCCCTATGTGTTGGCCAGCATGACTGGGAGCTTGGTGCTTTCCAGCTGATACAGATTCCCGGCGGCACTACTCTTTGGGTCCGTCTCTTTAGCCATCTTCACTGGTCTTGCAAATCTGCAAGTCGGATTTTTCTGTTTCATTTTGTAGGAATTCGCAGAACATACGTGTGTGTAGCACATTTTTAATCTCTTGAGTATTTGATCCACTTTCATGTAGCTGGCACAGTGACAGAAAAAGATGTGTTGACACATTAGGGTCTTTGCTTTTCTCAGTACAGCTCCCCCTTCCCCCCATTGAATGGTGTGTCGAAATGGGAGAATTAGCAAAGTGATACACAAGATAGAAAATGATGGTGAAACCGGAGTGGTCTGTAATAGTAGGTCTCAGTGTGTGTTTTTGAATGGACTTGTTAGAATTCGCCCATTTCCTTCCTGCCCAGTCTTGGCTGTGTGGGCGTGACTCTTGGACGCAGTGTCTCATAGTGTGTGCATTTTGTACCTAGGTTCTGAGGCGTATAAGTCATCTTCAGGAGGCACAGAGCAGATGGCGCCAGGAGACAGCACAGGGTATTTGGAAGTGTCTCTGGACTCCCTGGATCTTCGTGTCAAAGGGATTCTGTCCTCACAAACAGAAGGTGAGCATGGTGTGTGGAGTGACTGTGGTCGTGTACCATCTTGGGTCTTTGTTTGCTGGGCTCTGTCCTCTGTATTAGCCTGATGCCCCCTGGTGGATATTAATCGAGAGTCTGACTAAGCAGGTCACTTAGAGGTGACTGAAGAGGCGCCTTGCTTACAAAGTCCCTTTGCTGTGTGACTGTGCAAGGGAAGAAGCAGAGATTATAGAAGCGCTCCAGGAATAAAGTAGCAAAGCTGGAGCAAGGGCAGACTGTCGGTAGTTGAGCTCTGCAGTGTTTTCCCCCCAGTAGGTCAGGCACATCACAGGAGAGTCCCTCGTGTCCCAGGACCTGCACGAGAAGGCATTCTGCTGATCTCCAGTTGGCCGAAACGTGTCTGGGGTCAACGTTAAGCTGACAGTTCTCAGATATGTTCCATAGTGGCATAAAATAGAAATTGAATCCTGTTTTTGTACCTTTAAATCACACATGCATCAACAGCTCCTGTTGGAAGTTCTTGTCCGAGAAGTTAATGCTCCCTCATACTTTCTACCATTTTTTTCTCCTTTTAAGCCACTTAGGACCCCATATCAGTGAAAAGTAGCTAATAAGTGTGTGATTATTTTGAAAGGTCTAGTTGAGGCATAATGTGGGGAGATGTAAAAATCCCATGTGATTTGCCGTCTATATTTTGCAGGTGTAGAGTTGTGGACTACTGTAGGGGTTAAACAAGTCGTTTTTTAAAATGACAACTAGCTTTTTAGGGTCTTGAACACTAGGAGAGTTTTGATTCACCCATGTAATTTAGGAAATCACAGTTGTGGTTTAAGTCATAAATCTGAGGCTTGTCCATCAGATAAACAAATATTTTTCTTGTGCCAAGAGGGGCAGAGACCCCTCTCGAATAGCATGCGTCCTTGTCTAGTCACCCCTGCTTTCTTTCTAGATTAATTACAGGGCTGGGTGGTTAAGTTTTCTCAACCTGCTTTTAGATTTGGAGGCCTCAAGAAGTTACGTGGTTTTGAGCAGGAATTAGCCTTTCATTTTAGCAAATCATCTCATCTGTGGTGGTGACTTGCGCTTACTAGGTGACGGGAAATTGAGTGAGATAGATGCACCCAGGCCCCTTCTATCTGCGGAGGTTTACACTCTGGGAAGCGTGGCTATAAAGGAATGGAGGAGGTTGGTGTCAGGGCCAAAGCGGGGGGCTCTGGGGCGGAGCAGGAGGAGAGGCGGCCTGGCCAGGTGCACCTCAGCTCCGTGGCATTGTGTGCCTTGGCTTCCTGCAGTGGATTGGCCTGTGACTGACGAGTGACTGGTCTCTCGGTCATGCTCTTGGCGTAGAGAGTCGACACAGTGAAGAGACAAGCAGCGTTGCCTGTGGTACTTGTGCGGGCAGTGTGGGGACCCTGGAAGGAGGGAGTGGCTGAGCCAGAGCTGGACAGGAGGGCGGGAGACCTCGCACGGGACAGGTGTCGACGGCCGGTGGAGCCTGCCAAGCAGGTCGCTGGGGGCAGGTGACGGTTCTGTTTGTGACTCAAGAGGGCCCTGGCTTGAGCCTCGAACCTGGGAGAGTATCGCATTAAGATCATAACTGCTCTCCACTGTATTGGGGTCTTTTCTCATGGTTTCTGCCCTTAGACCTGCTACCCTGAGGTTGCGTGATGTTACATGATGTTGTGATCCCAGCAGGACGCAGAGGGCTGGAGCCTGGGGAGGGCAGGAGCTGAAAGCCATGGCGGTGTGGGCTGCGAAGGAGAGCCAGCGCAGGTGGGGAGTCCGCTTGCTCAGCAGTCGCGGAAGTCATCCCATCTGATGTCCCTGGTGGCGCTCCACTACTAACAGAGCACACACCACATCCACGAGGATGTCTGTGGCACTGGCCATGCACTGTAGACCCTATATCTCCCCTGTCTCCTTGCAGCCTTCTCGGCCTCACTTGGCCTACGCAGTGGTGGAAGGACAGTTGTCTGGCTGCTTCTTTGGTGCTTGTGTGGGTTTCCTCATTTCAGAATCAGGTTGCCGAGCAAGATCAGCCTGAAGGCCCTCCCAGCTGTACACTCGAGAATCTAATCTGAGTTTCCTCTCGCTCCCCTGATCTTTGGGCCTGGATGATCTAGCGGTTAGGCTGGGACATGGGGCAGTAGAGAGAGGCCAGCCTGCTCAGGCTTCCTTCCTGCGTGTGGCATATGCGGCCTACATGTTCAGTGACCTTTGCAGAGTCAGGTTTCCTCCTGGCCATGACCACTGGCAGGTTACAGGCAGGGGCTAGAGATGAGCAGAATAACTTTGTGGGTATCCTGGGAAGCAAGGTGGGTGTTGTTAAAAGGTAAAGTGAGGCACAGTACACTTTTAAAGCATTTACTTGAGCAAACAGGCCGGACAGTTCCACACCAGATGTGGAAGCTTCACAAGCCGGGCAGCTCCACACCAGATGTGGTTTGGGAACTTTGTCATGGGAGCACATGGGGAGGTGTTTACAGGGCAAACATGGAAGTGGCACAAAGGAAATGCTTGATTGGTGACAGCGCTATGGTTGCCTTACTATTCTGTCCACTAGAAAGTCCCTAGGTATATGAGTCGGCTGGCTGCTTCTGGTTGCTTGAGCTTAAGTTTTATTTTTCTTCTTATAAGCAATAGCTGTAAGTTTCCATTTACATTTCAAATCAAGCGAGGTTAAGGTGGCTTCCTTGGCTTAATTGGCCTTGTTTGCCCAGGGTTTCTTTAGACCTGGTTTCCATTTTAATTTACTTTAATAGTATAATTTTAGTTGTGAAAATAACAGTTAATTTTTTTTGTTTTGCAGGGTGCAGTAGCTCATGCCTGTAATCCCAGTACTTTGGGAGACGGAAGCAAGAGGATTTTCTGAGTCTAGGGGTTCATGACCAGCCTGGGCAACTTGGCGAGACCTTGTCTCACTGTGTCACTAGGCTGGAGTGCAATGACACGATCATGGCCATTGCAGCCTCAGCCTTCTAGGGTCAGGCAATCCTTCTTCCTCAACCTTCTAAGTAGCTGAGACTACAGGCATTCACCACCATGTCTGGCTAATTTTTTGATATTTTTATAGAGACAAGGTCTTGCCTACTTGCCCAGGCTGGTCTTGAACTCCTGGACTCAGGCAGTGCTCCTGCTTCCCCCTCCCAAAGTACTGAGATTACATGTGTGAGCCATTGCGTTTGGCCGAGAGTTAATTGTTTTTAACTAGGATCTAATAGTGAGTGTTTGAAACACTGGTCTACCTTACATTTCTGCTTTAACATTTCATGAGAAAGATGATGTGAATGATTCTCTGGCCTTTTTTGGGAGCAGCAGCCTCTGGGGCCACCCTCCATTCCCCTACCTTGCACCTGACCAGCCTCTGCCTTTCTGGACTGCCCTGGGCGGGGATGAGGTGCTGGCCAGGCTCAGGCTCCAGCCTTGCTGAGCTCCCCCTCAGCCATCCTGTGGACTGCAGGGTTGTTGCCGTCATTCACATTTTTAGCCCCAGTGGCCCTCGTGCTTATTTTTCTTTGTTTTCTTCAACTCTTCTCTTCTTTAGCATCATACATGGCTCGTTGGACTGTTGTCTAGGTGAATGGTATTCTAGATAGTAATAAGCCTTTTTTTTTTGAGTTGGAGTCTCACTCTGTCGCCCAGACTGGAGTGCAGTGGCCG